CATTTATAGTTTTTAAAAAATGTTTTTAATATAGTTTAATAAATAATATTACCAAATACTAATATTATTTTGATTAATTGTACGGGTTACAGTATTATTGTTAACACAAAAAATTATATCAACAAAAAATATTAAAAAATGATATAAAAAGATAATTTTTTTAAATCAAAAAATGATGTTGTTACAATCTGAAACAAATGATGTTATTGTTTTAGAAAATTTTATAAAAGAAAATTAAAGTAAATAAATGACAGTTTTATGAAATATTTTGGTTATAGAAACAATAAAGATTTTAAGGAAAAAGGAGTAGCAGATATAAATAAGAGTTTTTGATTTTTATATAAAGTTGGTTAAAACAATAATTAAAAATTATTTTAACAAAATTTCTAAAAATTAAAATGACATTTTTTGATTTATTAGTAATTATTTAAAAAAAATTAATTATCCCTTTAAATGATTTGGTATATATTATTTTTAAAACTTAACAATAGTACTAATGAAGTATCTAGTGATACGGTTGAGAATAAAAATACAAATTTAAAACGGAAACAAAATGAATTTGATAATCAACCTGTTTCAGAAAAAGCAAAAAAAATAAACAAAACAGATAACGAAGAAGAGTCTTCAATAAAACGACAAAAAACAGATGAAACAAGCAAAATGAGTGGAGAAACCATAACAGGAGAATTAGAAGAACCGATAACGTTTGAAGAATTTAAAGAAATTATAGGAATAGAAGGATTAGAAGAAATAATGGAACCGGATGCAATAGAAGAAATAATGAAACTCGACCCAATTAAAGAAATGATTCAATCAGATGAATTTGAAAAATTAACAGGATTTTATGAACAAACACAATTTAATGAATTAGAAAAAGCAGGAAGTACACAAAAAATCATTTTATATCCTCATATAACAGAAGAAACATTTAGTTTTTTTAAGGAGTTAGATAAAAGATTTAATGTACCATCTTCAGATGATATTAATCAACAATATAAAGAGAATATTTATAGAATTATACAAAGAAAGGATTTTTCATTTCCAATAACCACAAAAGATTTTTACAAAATCTTAAAAACAAAAGCATTTAATAAATCTGAATTAGAAAAAATTGCTAATTTAGATTTAAATACAATTCAAAGTAAGTCTAACAAATTGAATTTTTTTGAATGTTTCTTATTAAGATTTGTTCATATTTTAACATATCAAAACTATAAGGATTATAAAGAAGAAAATATAGAAATCATTAATATACTCATAGATTTGTTAAACGAATATATTAAGTTTTATTCATATTTTTTAAAATTAAAAGAAGTGGTTATTATGATAAACAATGATGACATTGAAAATTTACAAACTACAAAAGAAGAATTTATTGATTTAATTGACAAAAATTTTCTTTCTCGTTTTAATTCTTTAACTAAAGATGAGAAATTTAATGAATTTGAAAATTTTATTGGAAGTATAAACAGATATTTAAAAAGTGATGCATTTTTTATAAATGAAGAGATAGGGGGTCTTAATTTATTTGAATACTTTAAAGACATTTCAAAATCATTTGATGATAGACTTGATAAAAATAATAAGAAAAAAATTCTTAAATTAATAAGTTATATATATCTTGGGTATATTCATTTTTCATGTAAAATAGATTTGATTAAATTAAAAAAATGTTATTTTACAGATGAAAAATCAAAACTTTTACGTGATTTTATTAATTTAATGAATAGAGTTCCATGGAATATTGATGAATAAATTTTATTCTTCTTTAATATACAGTATTGTTCAAAAAAACGTGACCACTAAAATTTTTTAAAAATATGTTGTTATACAGTATTATATTAAAATTTTTTTAATAACAGTATATATTTAAATAATAAACACAGCTAATTTCAAAAAATAATAATAAATTTTATG